GACATGCTTCACAATGCACTCCTCCTGGCCTCTGATGGAACCCGCTCCTGGGTGGATGGGTTGTCTTTGCCCCCTGAGGAGGATGCGGATCATGATGAGGATGAGGAGGACGACGACTACACCGGCGAGGAAGAGGCCGATAATGATGATGATGATGGCAGGGCCATGGATGCTGATGAGCCGGAGCCCGCGTTGTCCCCACCAGGGGACCTTCAGCCACGACGGAGATCTGAGAGAGGCGAGTCCTCCTCCGATCCTTCTGGTCCGTCGATGGCTTCTGGCCCATTGATGGACTTCTTCACGGAGCAGTTCCAGCAGATGGGGCTCCAGTTTTAGCAGCTCGGACTCCAGAACCAGCAGCTCATGGACCATCAGGTCCAGTTCTACCAGCAGTATTCAGCCCACTTGGCCGAGTACCAGTCTCGGATGACGGTCATGGACGAGCGCCTCGACCGGATGGAGGCTCTGATGGGAGTAACTAGTGCTCGCATCGAGCGGGAGTGGGACCGTAGCCGCCGGATGATTGAGTACTAGGAGTACCTACTCCAGTCCTGCCACCCGCCTTAGGAGCACCACTGGACCACCCGGTGGGACCACTCACCACCCCCGCCACCCCTGCCATGTGGGGTTGACGACATCATGGATCAGATCGACTTCACCGGGCTCGAGTAGGCTGTACTCGTTGCCCGTCTTGTGTTGCTTTTGTTTCTTTCGGAGTGCAAAATGTCTTGTGTTTTGGTTTATTTTCTTTACTTTTCTTTTGGATGATGTACTATTGGGCTGAAAACTGGACCTAACGTATTGTGGCTGAGCTTTTGTTTTCCCTTTAGCTATGTTGTTCCTGACTGGTCCCCTCTCTAGTCCTCTTCACTCAAACTGGTCCCCTTCCAATCTCATGCAGTCCGTGCACAGTGGTAAAGTTGTTCCCCTTATCCTTCCCTCTCTCCATTGAGGGCAATGTTGGACTTAAGTGTGGGGGGGATGTTTTCTCTTTTGAGTGCATTAGATCTGTTTGTGTGCTTGGAGCCTAATCCACTGTCCAAATTTCGATTTGAGGGCTCCAAGTACGTATTTCCTTGCAAATTACCTACTCAGTATGCTTTGAATTGACAGTCTCTATAGTAATGTGCAACCTAGGGAGGTAGTGTAGCACTATGGAGGATGTTGAAGTATAAGATTTTTCCTATCTAGCTCTCTGCTATGCCGGTTGATTTTGTGAATTAGTGGAGCTAAGACCGTTGAATTCATGTGGTAATGGTGACTCTGATTGGATTGTGTTATGGACTCGTGTATCGAACAGGGTGCTCATGTGGGAAGTGAATAGCAGTTGGTCCTTGATGTCAAAATCATTGAAATCTTAAACATGGGGTAAGCCCAACGTGTGTGGCACCGTTCATTGCAAAAAATCGGGTTTTGGAAGGGATTTTAGTGATCCTTAGTGGGGTACTCCTACAAGGTGAAGCTAAGCCGTCTCTAGTACAAGTAACATTTTCACCCGACGGTTTGTCTACTCGAGGATGTGTTTTTAATGGCACGGATAGAGCTTCCGACCCCCCTTAATTCCATTTACCCTCCACATGAGTTGAGGAAAAGGAGTTAAAAGAAGTACTCTGGCAAGCGCCAGATGTACAGAAATTGCTCTTGCTCGACTAATAAGGATCGACCGTGCAAAAGACTGCAGTTGGAACCCCCGCTAAGTGAATGTGGAAATAAAAAAGAAAGGTAAAATGAAAGTGAAAAAAGGGGTTTCAACGGTGAAGTGAAGTGAAAGAGAACCCCGGTACAATGAGTCCTTGGTTGTGAATGGAGTGAGTCCTTTTATCCATGAACTGGTTGTCTTACTCCCACTTCTTCTCATTGTCCTGGCTTGAGTCTAGTACTCGCATTGAGAGAGATAGGGAACGTCTTAGAAGACCAGTTGACCTCGTAAGCTGCTATATGATCTAGGAAATCCTCTACCAACGACCGAGGTTGTTTGTTGTTATAGAGGTCTTTAGAGTTGCATTGGTTTGAGTTAGGTTTGCTTGGTGACAAGCAAACGGTTAAGTGTGGGGGAATTTGATAGACCATTGATTGCACATGTTTTTACTCCAATTCTTGAGCCGTTGGAGATGTTGATTCTCGTGTTTTAAGCCGATTTCACGCTAGGTTGTGTGTTTATGTCATATTTCAGGGCTTGGCGTTGACGTTGAAGCAAAGAAGCAAGTTTCGGGTCAAAAGGAGGACGTTTGAGTTGAAGGGTGCTGGAGGAGCAAAATACCCGGCCATGATCAAAAATACCCGGCCGGGTAAAATTCCATGGAGGCCGGGGAAAACGCTTTTGGACGTTGAGAAACAGAATGGGTCCCGGCCATAGAGCAAAAAATACCCGATCGGGTATTTTTGACCTCGATCGGGTATTAAAGGCTTCACCGATGCGCTGTGATTCGAAATCCATGGTGGGGCACCTGAAATACCCGACCGGGGATTCTGACTGGGGATCGCGAATGGCAGGTTCTTAAGGGAAAAGAAGGGAAAATTTGAAGGGTTCTGAGTTTTAGAGAAAGAAAGTGATACCTAGAGAGAGAGCGACGAACTAGAGTTCCCAAGCGCCTTAGATCGATCTTAATCATCAGTGGAGCTCGGATAACGCTTGGAGAAGTGCCGATTGCCGACTAGAAGCAGAACCCCATTCTTCACAGCATGATATCTGCTTCTGAGCTAGAGTTGGCTTCTCTCTCCATGGAGTAACTTCCACATTCACCTGGGTATGAAGAACCCTAGATTTCTATATATGTTAGGTCTTATTGTATGAACCCAAGTATGAATCCATTAATTTGATTATATTCAATTGAGGTCTGATTTGTTGAATGGCATGAATCCTGATCAAATTCTTGTTGTTTCTGCTTTGACCTAGAAAGAGAATATCTTCCTAGGTTGATAGAGCACCCTTGATTGAAGGTAGTGAATTGATGACTTCAGTCGAGGAGTCGATTCACTATCATGTACCGGATTTGCTTCGGTAGTGGCGGTTTGGTTCGTTAGGGCCTCAATCTGTTTACTCCGGTGGTGGTTACTTGCCCGCTGGGGACTCAGAATGAGAGGGTCTGGACACCTTTAGTCGAGACTGCAAACTGCATAAGAACCTCCCGCAGTATAATTATCTTTGAATTCGAAGTTGGTAAATTACAATCTGGCTTAACTGCAGTCTAGGGGGAACCATATCCGGGTGATCTCTCTCAACTTGAAAACAACTTTTTCCTACTTTGCTTGTTTGTTGGCTTGGACCTTTACTGCACTTTCACTGCTAAATAATAAGAATTCACGGAGTAGTCATCACACTTAGGAACCGGGTTGACATTAAAACCCAAACCCGCTATACTACGGTCTATTAGGTGGTTACACTTGGCCATTTACTAGTGTGACGGTAGAGGCAAGTCAGTAAAGTAAACAAGAGACATGGAATTCTCCTTTTCCTTCCCTCCCAACTCGTTTACGAAACCCTTAGGCGTCTCCTTTTGTCCAGAGATTCTCGCCAAAGCCTTCCTTACTCAATCGGCGCAAATCAATAGTGACAGTCCGGAAGAGCAATTTTGGTGGTTCATTGCAAGTAAGAACCTCTATTGTTCTGCAACCCTCTTCACCTCCATCCCCTGTTTCATAGCTTATGTAATTTTTTCGTTTACTGTTGTGTGCTTGTGCTTTGATTCTAAGATGATTATGTCATAGGTGGTGACTTTCTTTCATGTACAATTGTTATTATGGTGGGGAGCTTCTTTCCAAGAGAGTTGGTGCTTTATATTGATCTATATGTTCTTTTGTGTTGTTGGTCATGACCGGAATTCCTTCTTATATTTGGGTATGTGTTTCTCGTGTTGGTTGGTTATGCTTATGGCAAGGTAGGAACCTAGAGGTTGGAATTCCTTCTTATATAAGTGAGACGTTATAGGTTAAGTGTTGGAATAAGCCATTCTATTTTTCCTCATTGTTGTTTCTCCCATTCCCATTGTTGGATGAGATATGTTGTTAATGAAAAGAAGAATGGGAATCGTTTGAAGAAGATTGGGGTTATGTGGAAAAGCAACACAAGCAGTATGTTAATTAGAAAATGGCCTAATCAGTAGGGGTTTGTTCGAGTTAAGTAGCTGGTCAAAGCGATCCTTTGTTGGAAGCCTATTCTAATGATGTTTATGTATTGATTTCTGTCACATTTTCCAGTTCGTTAATTGCATTGTTCCTAGCTGTCAATCCATAATCTGTTTGCATTAGCGGTAGTCTATGGCATGCATTGTGATTTAATAATATTCTATAATTATTCAATAATCATATACTACGAAACACAATCCAACAAGGTTGCTCATGTTGTTTATTTAATTGTGCAAGTGCTTATCTCATTTGGTCAGTGCGATCTTGCAAGTTACAAAACAACCGACAATTGAAAGTCACTCTACTTTTACATATAGTCAAAACGAACATAGATTGGCTGAAGTTAAAGAATAGATTCTGTGAGGAATATAGAGGAGGGGTTGATGAATTCATAAGGGTTGCATCTGACCATCTTGATAAACTTGGTAGAACTAGATGTTCGTGCAAGAAGTGTAATAATTGTTACTTTAAGAAACTAAATGTGGTGAAAAGTGAAATATTTAGGTATGGCATGGTGGAGATATATACTACATGGATACATCATGGCGAGCCTTATGAGTTTGGCAGTAGCAGTAACATAAACCAGCCTTCTCATTCTCTTTCGAGAATGAAAATAAAGTGTTAGATACTGATATCCCTGAAATGTTAGATGATTTGGGTTGAGCTACTCAAGGAATTTTTTCTGCAACAGAGGGTGCAACATCAAATTATTATTTTAATGTGGCAAAAACTTTTGGAAAATTGGCTATATTATTCAGTGATTCCAATTGTCCGCTATATCCGGATGTAAGAACTTTTTAAAGTTATCCTTCATGATGAAAATGAGGAATAATAAACTAATAACCAATAGTAGTGCTAAAGCATTTAACTTGAATATGGAGTTGTTCAAGGCTGCTTTACCAACTAGAGACACCCTTCCGACTTCATTCTATGAGGTTAAGAGGTACATGCAAGATCTTGGATTTGGCTACACCATCATAGATGCATGTCCAAACAATTGTGTTCTATTTAAAGGTCCTCTACAATCTGAGAAGGAATGCCCAAAATGTCAGCATCCTAGGTACAACCCGGGTAAACGGGATGAGGTTGCCATTAAGAAAGCTAGGTATTTCCCCATAAAAGGTAGGCTACAAAGGTTGTTCATGATGAAATCAATTGCTAAGGACATGAGGTGGCACAATGACAAATGTGTTGATGATGATGTACTGAGGCATTCTGCTGATGGAGTAAGTTGGAAAAGTTTTGATAGATATCATAGTTGGTTTGCTTCAGATCCTAGGAATGTCTGACTTGCTCTTTTTAGTGATGGGTTTAACCTATTTGGGAACATGAGTTATAGCTACGGCATGTGGCCTGTAGTCTTAACCAGTGCAGTCAAAATCGCGCATTAAAGCGTAAAAACTTACGTTTTTACGTATCCAGGCCACCAAAACGTTTCAGTTTCTACCTAAAGTCGCTTAGTCACAAAAACTGGTAAAAACATGGGTAAAATCGCTTAAAATCGCGATTCTGAAGCGTTTTTATACGATTTTGATCATCTCATAAAAATGTGCTAATTGGCCCAAAATGATGTAATTTTTGAGACATATCAGCAAAAAATAAAAAAATAAAAACATGATTCATCACTCAGTTCTACAACTAGTGTCGAGATAGGGGCTTCACATTATGTTGAAAAGACACCTAATGGTATTCTCAACAGTCTTTTTTTTATAAGGGTGAAATAATATTAAATACAAAGAAAGAAAACAGCAGTAACAGGACATTACCAAAAAACAACAGTCGTTGACCTTCTATCAGTCTTCTCCCTTAATATTCACATGTGGCTCTTACCTGGGTTACGATAAAATTTTATTGGTAATTGATCTTATGTAATTATGTAAGCTCAAACCAGCTTATAAGAATTTGGACTCTCAAGCTCGTTTACGGGTTACGATCTACACTTATGTGCTTATTATTAAGATGTTATGAGTTTTCTCTACTTTTGAGTCAACAAAACTTAGTTTATGTGTTAGATATTGCATTTTAATTATGATTTTAATGTAGTTATTCATTTATCTAAAATCTACACAATCACATTTTACATACTATATGTTGTACTTAACATATTTTAGAGGGTGCGTCAAAAACTTACACTTTTACGCTTTGATTCTACGTTTTACGATTTTACTCATTTTCCGCTTCTAGATAAAATCGTGCTTTTAACTGCATTGGTCTTACCACCATATAATTTACCTCTTTAGTTATGTATGACAGAGCGAATTTTTTCCTTAGTGTTCTGATACCTTGTAAACAATCCCCCGGTAATAACATACATGTTTATTTGGAGCCCTTGATAGAACAGTTGAATGAATTGTGGGATGATGGGGTCAGCACTTATGATGCACATGCTAACAAAACTTTTCGTTTACATGCTGCATTACTATGAACAGTAAATGATTTCTTGCATATGGTATGCTATCTAGATGGAGTACTAAGGAAAAATTAGCATGTCTTGTGTGTAATAGTTGGACATGTTACCTTCGGTTGAATTATGGAAAGAAAGAGTGTGCTACATGGGCCATCAAAGTTGGTTGGACAAAGAGCATCGATGGAGAAAAAGCAAGAAGTTTGATGGAAATCCGGAACATAGAGGAAAACCAAAACTTTTAACAGGAGTAGAATTACTTCAACGGGTCAATTTGGTTGTGACTGATGACATGGTAGCCGGCGAGAGTGGTAAAAGGAAAAGGGGTGCTTCAGAGAACGTCTTTAACGGAAAAACTAAAGTTTAATTTTGGAGTTTTCCTTACTGGCATAATTTAGATGTTATGCATGTAGAAAAGAACATAAGTGAGAATGTGTTAGCAACATTGATTAATATCGAGGGAAATACGAAGGATACAGCTAATGCTCGCATGGATTTAAAGTTGATGGGTATTCGGAAGGAATTACATCTGCAGAGCGATGGTGCTAATTTTAAAATGCCTCAAGCTTTATATACCTTAACTATGTCACAACGTAGGAAGTTCTGTGACTGGTTAGAAACTATCAAGTTTTTTAATGATTATGCATCGAACATTTCACGTTGTGTGACTATTGATGGTAGTTCGATTACTGGAATGAAAATTCATGATCATCATGTGTTCATACAACGACTATTGTCTGTTGTGGCATACGGATTCTTGAGTAAAGAAGTATACAGTACTCTGGCAGAATTGGGTAGTTTTTTCCGAGAGTTATGTACAAAAACAATAACAAAGGCTACTGTTAAAAAATTGAAGACTAACATAGTCCTCATATTGTGTAAACTTGAGATGTTATATCCTCCGGGCTTCTTTGTTGTTATTATGCACCTCCCAATTCACCTACCCCATGAGGTAGAGCTTGTTGGCCCATACAGTATAGATGGATGTATCCTTTGGAAAGGTAGGTAATAATTATTTTAATGGGTAATTTAATTATTTTCTAAGCTAATATTGCAAATATATGTTTTTTGCATTTTAATAGGTTTTTAGGTGCCCTAATAAGTTTTGTTAGTAATAAAGATCATCCTGAGGGATCCATTTATCCATTGCATAAAGATAGCAACAAAGTGTTCTCAATTTTGCTCTAGATATCTGCAAGGAGTTGAAACAAGGGCAACTCGTCTAGACATAAATTATGATGGGTCTGAAATAGTTGAGTCTAGTGCGTTATTTATATTTATCCATCAAGGTAAACTCATAGGATCTACAAAGTCCGAGCCAACACCATATGCAGAATCATTAAGATTCAATGGTACATACTCAACAATTGTGAAGAGATTGGAGACTACTTTAAGTAAGCATAAAAGTGTTTTGCTTCTATTGTCTGCATAAAATGTTTACCTCACAATTTCTAACTTTTAAACTTTGTAAAACATCCATAAGGAAGAGATGTTGAGGAAGAACCCTAATAGTACTAGAGAAATGATTGAAGATAACTTTCCAACTTTGTTTAAAACATATGTAAGACTAAACATCTTTTCCTTGATATCTAGACTGTAGGCTGCTATTGTTGCTCTCTTTTATGGTTCTATCTCACTTAATAAATCTAAATTCTCTTTATTCATGCATTGTATAGGTTTCCAAAATATTTTTGGCTGGTTTGCTTAAAGAGAAAGACCATTTGTATGTCTTAGGATTAGGTGCGGATGAGAGAATTACTAGATATAATGGCATCATCATTAATGGAGCTCGTTACCAAATTCGTGATACTAACAAAGACCACCATACTCAAAACAGTGGTGTTGCCGTGAGAGGTGAACACAATGGAGAGACTATTGACTTCTATGACGTGCTTGTTGAAATCATCCAGATTCGGTATTGCTATGGTCATCATGTCTTTGTGTTCAAATGTGATTGGTGGGACGTAGGAGACAAGAGAAATGGGCTAACGTCCGATGGCTTTTTAACAAGTGCGAATATGGGTCGAAAGTGGTATATATATTGGCTAGTCAAGCTAATCAAGTATTTAACATTGAGGATATAAAGAATGGTGGTAGTTGGCATTTTGTTCATAAAGTATCTCTATGACATGTGTATGATGTCCCTGAGAAAGAGGTAGTGGAAGATGTGTATCCAATGTATGCTAATCAGCCATACCAGCAAGTTGAGGGTGTCGACAATTTTGGTATTAAGTGGATGACAACGAAATACAGTATTTTAGTCGTGATGATGAGGCTTCGACTATGGTTAGTGCGAATGTCATTCAAAAAATAGATGAACAAGCTCAAGGCGAGGAATCTAGTGATGTTGTGGATGAGGAGGAGGATGACACTCTAGAATCGTTTGAAGATAAATCTAATGAAAATCAAAATGCCGGCAAGGCTAGTGATAGTGACGAGGAAGATGACAAGTAGCTGGTTGCCAATTACTTATTTTACTTATGAACTTGTGACTTGATAGCTTATTTAATGTTTTGTATGTTGACATTTACATATTCAATTGATCAACTGTGTTCGTAAGATATATAATTATATATACATGCATAGCTAGTTGCCTTTTGTATCGGGTTACACAGCAACTAGTTGTCAATTCTTTTGTATATATACTCTAACATATGATATGCTTTGATTTTACAGGATCACATATATATACACATTTTTTTATCCTTTTGTCTTTTTGGGAAATTTACTTTGCAACTATGCCTCCTAAGGAAAGGAAGGTCGATGGACAATCAAAAGGCAATGAACAACCCTTGGGTGCATTTCATCGAGTAACAAGAGCACAATTAGAGTCCAAATCTTCCACCCTTCTCGCACCTTGAAAATTCTGATAGGTCCACTCCAAATGCAATAGAGCAGGAGACAGTACCGGAGAATTCAAATTCTACCACTGTGGAACCTGATACACTATGCACTGAAGGTAATATATTTGTCAATATATGTGTATATACGAATCTTGTTCGAAAATATGTGTACGTACAAATTTTGTATTTTTCTTTAATTTTTTTACTTATTAGGCCAATCTCAAAACAAAAGGCGGGGGATAACCAAAGGATATGAGGTAATGAGAACAATTCAAAGTGGTACTAAGATTGGAGAAGTCTTCATCCCAGAAAATGGGCAGACATTTGTTGGCCCTAATGTGAATTTGCTGAACACGGAGATTGGCGTCATTACCCGTCTAATGGCTCCTATAAGGAAGTATTACTGGTCAGACTTGACTGAAGCAGATAAACAGCCTCTTTTTGCAAAATTAGATGTAATCTGAATCCTATCTATATTTTAATCATAAATTTTGTATGTATGTATGATTAATTCATTGAGAATTTGGGTTCAACTTCCAAAGAGTGGAGATATTAGGACTATGCAATTAATTAAGTAGGGCAGGGTATTTAATTTAGTTATTGCAAGATTCTGAGCAGTGTATTTAACATAGATGACGTCAACTTTAAACAGTGTAGCTAATGTGATATAAGTCGAGGCTCTAACTCCTGGACTTAAACAATCAGAAGCGCAGCAAAGATCGAGTAGAAGCACAACGATCACAAAACGGGTAATAACCCAAACCAAATCCACGAGTTGGGAAGAGGGCCAGGTATACAAAGGACTAGGGTGATGAGCTAGCAAAAAAGGTCGGTTTCCTCTTGCTGAATCGATTCCACGATCAAGAAAGAAGAAGAAGAGAAGTTGGTATTTAAACAACCAATTCTAGGGTTTGTATTCTGAATAAAATTGTTGATTACCCCTCAAATACTTAGTGCAACCCCTTATATATGCTAAAAAAATTTTGGGCAAAAAATAACAAGGAAACCCGAGTTTTGGTGTAAAAGTCACATAATCCGCAAA